ACCCCCCCCCCCCCCCGCAGTGATGAGAGCGCATAGGGCCCAGGCTGGCATAGGCCAGTGGTTTTCTAAGTGTGGGTCATGACCCTGTACTGGGTCGCACCATGTCACCCTGCACATCACCCAGGGATGCTGGTGGCCAGCTAAGGCTGGATCACAACCCACACTTTGAAAACCCTTGGCCAATCCAATCCCTACCTATTCTGACACCATGTCACATCCAGGAAGACGCCAGCAGCAGGCCCAGGCAGCAAGGCCACCAGGCTCCCCCTGCTGACTCTACTCTGAGGCCTGGCTCCACACTCCCATTGACCAGAAACCATCCAATGGGAGTTGGGTAGTGTCAGTGCCTGCAGATAAGAGCCATGTAGGAGGTGGGTCTGTTGCTGCCTGCTTCTGGGACACAGTGTGGTCAATGGTGCCAAGGCAGGCAGGTAGCCTGCATTTGAACCCCGTGCTGATGAGAAGCCCTGGAGATAAGTCTGTGCCATTATCCTGTGCCTAGATCCCCTGCCCCAGCCCTAAAAACCTCCCTCCCCAAACCCAGAGTCTACACCCTAAATCCCTTATCCACAGCTCCATCTCATAGCCTGCATCACCAGCACTGACCCTGTCCTGAACCCAACTTCCTACCCCAGCCCAGAGACCCTCCTACACTGTGAACCCCTCATACCCAGCCCCCCCCAAAACTCTCACCCCTGCACTGCAGCCCTCTTTCCCAGGTTAAGTTTTCAATGAAAAAGTGATTAACATGCATTTTCTTATTATTTCATTTTGTTTTTTCCTTTTTTAAAAAACTTTACCATTTTTCCATTTTTGCACTAGGCACTTGTCTGCATCATTAGATTAAAATCTTATCTCTAATTCACTTTTGAAAATGAGACAAAGCTCCTAAGCTATTTGGCGGCTTCAGATAAAATTTTCAAAAGTGTTTTGCTGATGGCCACACAGAAATGGGATTTGAATTTACGAGTTCCTAGCTCTCAGGTCTGCCCTCAGATTACTAAACAATCACTCTTCCTACTTAGGTAAATACATAATCAGTCTCTCCCTTCAATGTCTGATACTTTATTCATTTTTTTTTTACACTCTACTAATGACTGTACCACCATGAGTACAGATGCATGATAGTAGGAGAAAAACATACATTTTTTCCCATTAAAAAGAATGGAAATCACCCCACTGCAGATGAACCCGCAAATCTGCCCACACCACTTACCCTTTTAGAGAGAAAATCCAAGGAGTAGTCTAGGGATTTTGTCACTGACTGACAAATGCCGTTATTCCTGAAAATAATCAGCATAGCGGCATTGCGCAAGAGGGTTTTTCTTGCGCAAGAAGGGGCGGTGTAGACAGCTCCTTCTAGCGCAAAAGCCTCTTCCGCAAAAATGGCGGCTCATTAGGTATGCAAATGAGGCTCAGCAATATTCCACGCTTAGCCTCATTTGCATGTCTCTGGCGCAAGATTGCACCAGTGTAGACATAGCCCTTGAGTGTGAATTCAAGTAAAAGAAAGGGATAAAGCCTTTTAGAATAAGTCTGGTTCAGCTTGTCTTTGTGCTTATAAAGCAAGAACATGAGGAGATCTAATGGCAGAGGTTTTCAAAGCTATCTAAAGGGAATTCAACATGCTGTTCCCATTAAAATTAATAAGAATTTGGCATCCAAAGATTTTGGAAGCCTTTTAATATGTCAATCTGCAAAGACTGGAGCAGACATAACATGCTAGTAAAGGGTGCAAATGGGGAATGAAGGGGACTCCCATCTGCTGGGGCTGGGAGGATAAGAGGACCCAAATGCTGTCAAGAGAACTGTTCCTGTATCTTATCCTGAGTATCCTGGCAGTGACCTTGGAAATACTGAGGAATTTGTGCCATACTTTTTCTCTTGGCATTGTGTGTGCGCTAACATCTGTCCACCGTGTCATGCAAAAGGAAATGAATGAATGCACTTTACTTCCACTGAAATGTGTCTGTGGCGCCCACAAGAAGAAGCATGTGAGCCACATACCACAGAACTGCTGGTAGCCGCCCTGCAGCCTCAGTCCACATATTCTATGCAGGAGTGGCAGCGCAGCCCCTCTGAGTTGAATCCACTCCCCTCTCCTGGCCCCCACGGTCTACCCTATCTCCTTTTCAAAATGATCTTTAACAATGGCCTATGAAGACCTGGCACAGAGACAGAGCCATATGCTAAATGGCACAGGCACTCCTGTGTAGTTACACTATCATGAAAGTGTTGTACTGCTCCATGGCCCTTCCTACCAGTAATGGATTTCACCCTTTGTGTCTCACTTTTCCCATCTGTAAAAATAAACTTATACCACAGCAGTGTTGCAAGGACCAACGTGTGCCTGTGAAGCACTGAGAATATGTAACATCAACATCTCTGTTAAGATTTAACACATAACTCTAGGGCTGTATTGGCTAATGCATTTTCATCTGTCCCTCTCTCCTTGGTAATTCATCCACATTAACATATAGATAATATTAGTCCTGCCAGGAGTGCAGAGGACTAGACTAGATGATTGCTCCAAGTCCCTCCCAGTCTTATAATCCTATGATTCTATTTAATATAAAGAAAAAAACTGCTGAAAAAAGAATTAACATGAGAACCAAGAACAGAACTAATGTCTTAGTATTTATATTTCAGTAGTATTTAGGCACTACTGGCATAGGAAGATGGGTTGCCTGCATGAAAAAGATTACAGTAAATCATCTCATTCCTGAGGTCAGACTTATTCAGGGCTTTATACATGCAAGTAGTTCCACTAAAATCAATGAGACTTTGACTCGATGACTTGCATAAAATAAAGTACATATGAGTAATTGCTTGAAGGACAGGGACCTCGAAATCTAAGCAGCTTACAAGAGATTTGTAAGTTGTGATGAATTCAATCACAATATATACAGTTTAATACACACTTTTTAAAAAAACTGATATTTAAAATAAAAAAACTGATTATTTGTCCTAGTTTGCTAATTTCTGGTAGCAATCACAATATAGGAGGTTCTTGAAAGGAGCTGAGGAAGAGAGGGTTAACAGCCTTATGGATGTGTTTAGATAAGTCATTTGTGTGTGGATGAGGAAATAAAAAATGAGAAAAATGGAAGCCAAGAATGGAGCCAACACGGAAAGGGTAGAAAAAAAAAAAATCAATGACTCTGGTACACCTAAAGGTATGGCAAAAAAAGTCTGAGCTGGAGAAAATGAAACTAGAAGCAGAGAAGGAAGATAATTATGTTTTAATTAGAAAGGAGGATTTGTCTGGGGGAAGTCCAGTGAGTTATAGGATTAGAGAACAGAATCTCAAACTTCATTGTACCATGGCAGCCTTCTGAGAACAAAAATTACAACATGACTCCAGGAAGAGAGGGGATTGAAGACTGAACCTCATGCAACCCCAGGTGGGAAGGGGGCAAAGCCCAAAGGCTTCAGCCCCTGCCACAGGGCCCTTATCCTGAGCCCTGTCACCCAGGGCTGAAACCCAAGAGTTTTGGCTTCAGCTCCGGACCCCAGTAAATCTAAGTCAGCCTTGACAACCCCATTAAAACAGGGTCATAACCCACAGTTTGAGAACCCCTGGATTTTTGCCACTGACTTCAATGGGGAGCTGAATCAGATTCAGAGAGAGCATCAGATACTTCTATAAGATGAGATCCTTGGCTGACTGCTATGGTTTGAAAGCAGTTTGATAGGTTTGGCTCAATACTAGATGTGTAGTATATAGGCTTAAACCTGGAATCTCCGCATGAGTCAGGTTGTAAGCTTCTCAGAAGTATCTGTGCAGTGGGCACAGAGACTGTGTTGAACTGTCCTATACCCTGTATTCTGACCTAGAAGTGACAATCCTAACAGTGAGACAATTCAGGTTTCCTCAAACTTCCTTGATGGAAAGGGATACAGCAAGTTACCAAGAAGGGTCTTCACTGGAAAGGGTTCATAAATGAAAGGAGTTCTCAGTTCCTAAAAAGCCAAACCTAACAACCAGAAACCC